AGCTGTGAATAATTCTGAGAAAGTGTCAGGAGAAGCTCTGCCCTGTCCAGACAGCTCTGGGAACTTGATCTTCCTGAGGGAACTGAAATTAAAAAAAAAAAAAAAAAGATCATACTGAAAAAGTTTTCCTGCCACTGGACAGGAGGCTAAGTGGATGAATTACATAGTGTCTGCAGAGAAATATGGCCATAAGTGCTATATAAGCACCAGACACCATTGATAGTACTATTTAAAAGAATTGAGCATCCCATTATTTCTTATGTGGTAACCTTAGCACAGCAGAATTTTCTAATTGTTCCTTCTAAAATGCCCTCTAATAAGTCTAATCATTGATTGGGTTGCCTGCTGGAGCATTAATAATGTTCTAAATGCATGTCACACAAGCAGATTTGGTGTGGCCACCATTTGCTTAGACTTTTATCGGGTCTTACCTGAATGGTTGCAACGGCCTTCTTATAGTCTACTGGCCTTAGGTGGGCCAAGTCAGGCAATTCCTAACTATACAGGTCCATGTTCCTAATTATATTGGTATTTGTAAACTGTGACATAATTATGTCACTTTTCTGCTTTAAAATAGATCATGATTTCTTTTGGCCTAAAAAATACCCCAGTTCACATCTTGGACTGGGCTGTCAACCATCCTCCCTGGAAGTTCTACCATGATCTAACCACTCCTGAGGACGGTGGGGTCTTTTCCCATTTCTCCAGATGGCTCTCTGACTTTTGTTCTCCTGGGAAACTCCTGAGCATCTTTCAGGCATCACTTCTACCTTGAAACTTTCCCTCATACCCATTGCAGAAGCGTAATTCCTTGCTTTCTTCTCTAAACATTGAAAACATTGAACAATTCTCTGGTATTGACCAGAATCTTTGACTGTCAATTTTGGAAGTACAGCTTACCCGACTTAAACTATAAACTGGTATTTATTCACTCAGGTCATCAGACTCCACAGGGGCTGGGCCTTAGGATGATAGGACGAGGACCTCAGACTGTATCAGGGATTCTCCCTCAAGCAACTGTCTTCATGGGGCAGAAATTATAGACACTGACTTCTCCAGATTTGCATCCATAAATAGTTGGAACCAGAGGAGAAAAAGTTCTTCCCACTAATTCCAGTATAAAATTTTAGACAATGCATTCTAGTAGGCTGGCTCAATCCTCAGGAGCATCCCTATGGCTGTCTCCATGAAGGGAGAACGGGGCACTATGATTCACCCAGACTGAGCCAGGGTACCTCCTGCGCTGATACGGGAGTAGCACACTACCATTAGCAACTCCCTGAGACCCCTTATTAGCTTGATGGTGGGAAAGAAGCAGTGCTCCAAAACAAGAAGATGTAATCAAAGAAGGGTACCAGATAGGCAGAAAAAAACAGCATCAAACAGACAGCTTTTCAAAGTCTCTAACTAGTAACACTCACATAGTGTCTTAATGATGCATTTGGGTGAGTCTCTCTGAGTAGAGTCTGAGCTCCAGGGGTTCAAGTCCCCTGTCTTACTCAGATCCTATCACCAATACCCAGCAAGATACCTGACACAAAGTTGGCGCTCAGCTAATGTTTGTTATTGAGTTGATAAAATGGGTAGCTCTCCAATGTGAATATAACATCAAGTGACCATGATCACAGAATTCCTTAGAGTTGTGAAGTTAGTTCAACGAATGCTTATGGAACATATATAGTTGACAGGTCATTGAGGGATTGAAAACTTCACTAAAACATAAGAACCTTTGAAATACAACTAATATTTATTGGGTTCATCCTATTAGCATTTTTATTATAGCCATTTAATTCTTACCCAAATCCCATGAGTTATAGGAATCACCCCTGTTTTAGAAATTAAGCAGATGAAGTTAAGAGATCCTTAAGTTTTTCCACATTGTCAGATAATAGGCTGCAGCAAAGGAATAGAAGCTCAGGCCCTCTGATTCTAAGTCTGTTGCTGTGCTCTTAAGCAGATTATTTAACCTCTCTAAGTAAACTGGGGAGAAAGACACCTATTTCTAAAAATTGTTGTAAGGAAAAAAGAAAAAAAACCATTTAAAATGCCAAGTGCAAAGCCTGGTCTAGATTAAGGGATCAATAGATAACAGTTGCTGTGTTTGTCAGAGATGCTGGAAGACTGCCTACGATGTCAGACTGGAACAGATCTGAGGCCATTTCTCTCTTTGTCCCACATTCCAGGGACTCATCCTGCATTTTTCTCCTCTTTAGTGCTGCCCACTCTGTCGTCGTCCAGTAGCTTCTATCCCATAGGACTGGCCATAGGGTAGGCTCCCGGGCTCCCTGTTCCTTGCTAAAGCCAAGCACCCATGCCCCCTTTGCTACCTTAAGCAGCTTACCTCTAGTTCAGGAAAGAGAAATACCAGGAGACATAAGGATCTGTGGATCCTAGACCTTGTTCTGACATCAATTAGCTTGTGTGACATTTGCACCGCTGCTCTTTCAAGTGTGAAATGAGGGTGTTGAAGCGGAGAAATTTTTATATTAAATTTTAGTATGCAAAGGAAATTTCAGTAAAAATATTTTCATCGCACAGTCAAGCAATACTATTAGCCAGATTAAAAAAAAAATAAGTCTTAAATATTTCTCTATCCACCAAATAAATCAAGGCTGACCTTGCCAAAGTTTATCCATTTCTCTAACTTTTAACTCTTCCTACTTGCTGTACATCTCAGCAGGGATTACATACCTGCAGCATACATTCAGAATCTTCTCCTGACTATAGATTCCAGGAAAAGCTGAAGCACAGAGAACAGAAAAGAAATAGCATGATGACATTTCTTTAGGCTCACTGCCTAGACTCACTTGGCCTGCTGCCTTATTCTCATTAGTCCCACTGACTGAATCTGATTAGCCTACCCTGATTTATTTTTGGCGACTGGGGAGCACATGGGCCAATGCTTATTTTCATGGCTGATACAATCATCCCCAAAGCTGTCGTTAGATTTTGGAAGATTAGTCCCTCTCCCTGGAAGACTGCGCTAAGAAGCATCATGACCCATTAGATATATATTTCTTAAACACTTTGGAAAATTGAGTCTATGTATCCCACTTTTCATTATCACAAAATTTTGTTGTTTGCTACTAAAACATAGAGCAAAAAGTTCTTAACTAATTCTGAACCTAATGTTTGTAAACTTACTGTTTTCTAAGATAGTGAATCAGTTTCTGTAACCAATAATGAATACAAGCCAGAGTTGATGTTATTGGATATAGGAGGCTTGGTTTAGCCTTACGATTCCACCTGGATCCCTGGCAATATGAGTGGGTCACATTTTTTGTATGTTTGTTTTGTTTTCCAAAAGTACACAGTTTTAGAAACCTACCCTCATGTGTCCGACGATGAGATATAATGTGGTTAGAAGGATATTTTAAAAGTCAATTCTTACAGACTGATCTGTATTATAGAGATCTGCTCAGGACTATCCAGATCACAGAGCACCTTACATATGCCAGAAGTGGTCCTGGAGCTAGAGATGCAGCTAGAAATAAGATACAGTCCCTCCTCCTAAAGAACTTAGGGTCTAGTATGGTTAGAATATCATGAACACAATTAAGTCTACTAAATGTTAACAGAATTAAATTTCTGTTAAAGGCCAGATATTCTACAAATACTAGGACCTGTAAAAACTAGATTTCTAAAACAATAAGAAAAAAATCAGTACATTTTTAGGAACATGTTAGCCTCCTTTAGGATACTAATATGTACTGTATTGGGCTACTGACAACATGTGAGCTATCATCAGGTTAATTCTAAGAGGCAAATGTCCATATTAGCAATTCTTTCATTCACTTAACAGAGACTTACCAGTTGTATACTGTGTGTCAGACTCAGTGTAAGGAAAACAAGTCAAGAGGGAAAGACAAACAGACGTGGAATAATGGAGCTCAGTTTGGGGACTCATGTAAGTTCAATGGTTAAGAATGCAAACTAGATGCGTGATCTCGGGTGAGTGACTCAATCCTTTTGAGCCTCAGTTTTCTTAACTACAAACTGACTTTGAAAAAAAAAACCCATATCCTATCAGGTCATTTTGAATATTAAATGAGATGACTGTATTCATAGGCTACCTAGCTTTGTATCTGGATCCTGGCAAGTACTATACAAGTTTTAGCCATTGTTCTGTCCAACTTTCACAGAAGAGAAATCTGAGGCTCAGAGCAGTGAAATAATTTCCCTGGACCCCACATACCCAGAAGATGAATTAAAAACAAAGCAGCAATGATACAAAATATCTGAGTCTTGTGTGAAACAAGAGAGCAGAAGGACTATTCTGCTTGTACGGTATGGGGAAGAGTCAGAAAGGAATATTTAAACCACACAATGATTCTTCAGATACCATCTATAAACATTTATCTAGACACTTAGAGGAGTTTTCATTCCTCTAGCTGCTGCCTTTTCCAAAGATGGCAGTGATCCTCAGTCTGGTTCCCTCTTCAAAGAGCATGTTAGCCTCTCTTATTAAGGATTGGCTAAACTTTAATGAAAATGAGTATCTCATTTTTTTCAATGAGTATCTAGTTTTTTTCAGAACTAACAGGTGAAAAGTGAGAGAGGAAATAACTGCCTTGACATTCTTCTAGAATTCTCCTAGGACTCCCACCGCATTACTCCTTCCAAAGTAAAATAGAGTGTTCCATCCATATAGTTTCTCCAGCATAGCTGAAACCAAGAACTTCTCTGGAAGTTAAGAGCCAAAATGATTTTCATTCATTCATTCTTTACTCATTTCCACAGTGCTTATTTTTTATTGGTTACATGACACAATCCATGAACCCGGTGCAGCTTTTCAATGGAGAAGAACCAAAAGTAATAGCTTGAGAAGATCATAAAGTCATAAGGGGGTTGATCTTTCTTTCTGCTTTTCCTTGAACACTAAAATACCCATGTGATGCTTATCACAAACATTAGTTTTGGAAAAAATAGCTTAGCATAATTTTATTGCTAATTATCTCAATTTGACCCTCATTTCCTTTTTTTTCTCTTTTCTTAAACAGAATGCCACAACATTCCATGTAACTGTTCAAGATGATAATAGCATCGTTGTCTCTTTAGAAGCTTCAGATGTCATGAGCCCATCATCTGTGTATGTTGTGAAGATAACTGGGGAATCAAAAAATTACTTCTTCGAATTTGAGGAATTCAACAGCACTTTGCCTCCTCCTGTTACCTTTAAGGCTAATTATCATGGCCTTTATTACATAATCACTCTGGTAGTGGTAAATGGAAATGTGGTTACCAAGCCATCCAGATCAATCACTGTGTTAACAAGTAAGAATCGTTTATAATATTGTCCTCTGTGTCTCTTTTTTGCGTACATTCTCATGGGTGTCTCACTGAAAGCCAGAATGGCAAGATCAGTCACCTTAAAGTCGATTGACATAAATGCAAAATTCTGCTTTATGTTGAGAACACAGTTTCTTGCCAGCATTTGATAATGTTTAACTGTTACCTGTTGTTAAAGGAAAAATCCGTTTTAAACCAAAAAAAAAAAAAAAAGTAAACCTCAGTGAGATAGTATATTTTCCTACTGAATATTAATTTTAGATTCATGACTGGACCATGTAGTTTTTTGCTACATAACTTAATAGTATTATCATAACTAAGCTATTTTTTTCCAGAGCCCATACTCTCTTATTAAGCAATTGGGGTTTTGAGACAGTGAATTTATTCAAATTTAGCCTGCTCAAAATTAATTGTGCATTTTTAGCTAAGAGAAAATAAAAGATATTAGTTATCAGTTTCTATTCTTGACCTCACCTGCCAAATAACCATGGCTTCCACTGCCCAAGAAAAAATACCAAGAAAAAAACAAATCATTGGCATTTTAACCTTCAGTAGTTGATATCTTAAAGTATTGATGCTGATATTAGGAATTTTTAGGAGTAATTTTAACTATAGGTGATTTTCACTTTTCTCTCTGGGACTTTAATACCTAACCTCAAAGTAAGATATGCAACTCTACCGCATATGTTGAAGTATGTGTTAGAAGAAAAACTATTATCTATAAGATGGTAGAGTTTACCACTGAAGCAATTTAATGGCTCAGTGAAGTTCTTTTTGTTTATTGTTCTTCAGTGTAAATTTGCCAGTGGCTGCGATTTTCTAAATACCAGTTATATGCAATCATTTTCACCACAATTAAGGAAAAGGACAGTGATATTGTTCTCTTGGGATAAAAGGAAAGAGAAACATCAAGAAGCAAGAACTGAGAATCAAGCTGGAAGACATGGTTTTAGTATGTCTGTCAAAAATTAATTAAAGTTTCCTTTGGCAGAGTCCCAGAATCAGTATCAAATCCTAAAAATTAGGAATGGAATGACAAACCCAAGACCTTCAAGGTTTACAGATATAATGAACAAATCTAGGACCTAGTAGAATTAAAGGAAGAACCTGCCTGTTCTAAAACACTGTTTTAAACAAGTTGCAGGGATCCCTGGGTGGCGCAGCGGTTTGGCGCCTGCCTTTGGCCCAGGGCGCGATCCTGGAGACTCAGGATCGAATCCCACGTCAGGCTCCCGGTGCATGGAGCCTGCTTCTCCCTCTGCCTGTGTCTCTACCTCTCTCTCTGTGTGTGTGACTATCATAAATAAATAAAAATTTAAAAAAAATTAAACAAGTTGCAGAGAAAGGTGAATTGGGAGTTAATAGGTCCAAGGTAGCAGATCTAGGTGTTTGATGGCTGTAATATAATTCCTTTAAATTAGAAACTCTGCCTTAACCCTTCTTCATAATCTCATAAGTACCTAGCATGAACTTTACAGTTAATAAGCGATCAACAAATATTAATTCAATTCAGTTGAGCAAGTAACAGGATAAAGAGCTGGGCAAAAAAGACTAAGGCACAAAGCAAAATAAAAGTACAGTTACTATTGCTGAACTAACATTCATTAGCATGCACTTAGCCGCTTCAGATTAGAAAAGCTCTAGCAGTCAGCCCTTTAGCTAATGGTTCATAAAGACATTTGGTAAGTAAGTAAATGATGAGTAAATGATAAGTAGGTACAGTGTAAGAGATTTCCATAATATCTCGTTGATATTTTAGTGTGAGCAATGAGTTGCATTCAAAATGTTTTTTATTTTCTTTTGTGATTTCTTTTTCGACATATGGTCTGGGAGGTGTGTTGTTGAGTATCCAAAATTTTGCAGTTTTTCAGAGATCTTTTTATTAATTTCTAGATAAATGCTTTTGTGACCAAAGAACATATTTCATGCTATTTCAATTACTTTAAAATTGTTGTGATTTATTGTATGGCCCCAAATATGGTCTGTCTTGGTGTATATTGTGTGGGCACTTGTTGGGTGAGGTTTTGATAAATGTCAATTAGGTCAAGTTGGTTGTTCAAGTCTTCTCTACCCTTACTAATTTTCTGTCTACTTGTTCTAATAGTGACAGATAGTGGTATGTGAAAGTCTCCAACTATATCTATAGATTTGTTTATTTCTCCTTATACTTAGTTTATGCTTTACATATCTTGAACTTTACATGAAGCTTAAAGCTTTACATCTTTAAACGTTTAAGATTAATATGTCTTCTTTTTTATTGAGGTGTAATTGACATATGTTTCAAATATACAACACAATGATTTGATATTTGTATATACTGCAAGATGATCACCACAATAGTCAAGTTACCATTATCACTATTCAGTCTCATTCTTTTTCTTGCAATGAGAATACTTAAAATTTATTCTCTTGACACCTTTCAAATATGCAATACAATACTATTGACTATAGTCATTATACTGTACATTACATCCCCATGACTTATTTATTTTATAACTGGATGTTTGTACCTCTTGACCCCCTTCACCCATTTTGCCCACTCCACGACCCTTCTCTCCTCTGGAAACTGCCATTCTGTTCTCTGTAACTATGAGTTTTGCTTTGTTTTCTTTGCTTTTTAGTTTCCATATATAAGTGAAATCATACAGTATCTATCTCTAACTTATTTCACTTAGCAAAATATCCTTAAGTTCCATCAAGTTGTTGCAAATGGCAAGACTTTATTCTTTTTTATGGTTGAGTAGTATTCCATTGCATATATATACATCACATCTTCTTTATCCATTCATCCATTGGTAGATGCTTATATTGTTTACATATCTTGGCTATTGTAAATAATGGTTCAATGAACATGGATGTACATCTTTTCAAATTACATATATCTATCTTATATATATCTTTTCAAATTGGTGGGGGTTTTTCCCTTTGGATAAATACCAGAAGTGGAATTGCTAGATCATATGGTAGTTCCATTTTTAATTTTTTTAGAAATCTCCATACTGTTTTCCACAGTGGCTATGCTAGTTAATATTCCTACTAACAGTTCTCAAGAGTTGCTTTTCTCCACATTCTTACTAACACTTGTTACTTCTTGCCTTTTTGATAATAACTATTCTAACAAGTGTGAGGTGATATCCCATGGTGGTTTTGATTTGCATTTCCCTGATGCTTAGTGATGTTGAGCATCTATTTATGTGCTTTTTGGCCATCTGTATGTCTTCTTTGGAAAAATGTCTAGTCAGATCCTCTGATAATAATAATTAGTAATATAATAATAATTATATATATATATATATATATCACTAATTAGTGTCCTTTCTTCTCAGCTTAGAGAAGCTCTTTTAGCATTTCTTGTAAGGCCAGTTTAGTAGGGATGAATTCCTTTAGTTTTGCTTGTCTGGAAATATTTTTTCTCTTTCAAATCTGAATGATAACCTTCCCAGATAGAGTATTCTTGGTTGTAAGTTTTTCCTTTCAGCATCTTGAATATATTTACCACTCTCTTCTGGTCTGTAAACTTTTTGCTGAAACATATGTTAATATTCTTATGAGGTTAATATTCTTATTTGTATGTAACTTCTCTTGCCCCTTTAAAGATTCTCTCTTTCTCTTTAACTTTTGACATTTTAATGATAATTATAATGTGTCTTGAGTGGATGTTTTTGGGTTAATCTTATTTAATTTTCTGGGCTTTCTGGATCCAAATGTCTGTTTTCTTCTTTAGGTTAAAAAAGCTTTCAGCCATTATTTCTTCTCAAGAGTTTTCTGCCTTTCTTTTTTCTGGAACACCTAGAATGCAACTGTTATTCCACTTGAGGCGGTCTTATATGTTCTTTAAGATGCCTTCATTTTTAAAATGTTTTTTTTTTAATTGCTCTGTTTGAATGAGTTCCACTGCTATGTTTCTACAGATCCTTTCTTCCATTTTATTAGTCTCTGTTGAATCCTTGTAGTGTATTTTTCAGTTCAGTTTTTGTCTCTTTCAACTCTGTGACTTCTATTTGATAATTTCTTCATTGAAATGTTCAGTATGTTCATTCATTGAGTTCAGTGACAACTTTAGGATGGTTACTTTGAACTTTTTATCAGGTAAGTTACTCATCATTCGTTAAAGTTTTTTTTTTTTATTATTTTATCTTGTTCTTTTGTTTGTAACTTATTCCTCTGATTTCTCTTTCTCATTTTGCTTGACTCTCTGTATTTGTTTCTATGTATTAAGTGAAACAGCTACTTCTCCCAGTTTGGAAGGAGTGGCCTTGTGTAGGGGATGAACATTATTGTTCAACTTTGCCCTGGCCCTTGGTTGTCTCTTGAATCTTTGTGATTGTCTAGGCAGCCTGATTTATTCTTGATAAGTCTCAGTTGGTGAGCGTATGCTAAGATCTGTCAGTGTTCCAGAGGGAGGGATTTCACTCAGCACCTCATTTAAGGCTGATTGAAAGCCATGCCCTCTGGCAATAGCTTTTAAAGTATGAAAGTATGTACTGTCCTGTGGGACTACAGTTGTTAACCCTGCTGTCCTCCAGACCAGGTGATCTGGAAGTGTTCCCTGGACAACAGTTACCCAAATCAGGGCTCCAAACAATTGTATAAGCTCCTTTCTGGACTAGCAAGTGGTAGCATGAATGAAGAAGGTTAAAAAAGCAGTGTTACCTGACCTAAGTTCTTTAGGAGCACCTCCACAACCTCTAGATGTGTGACAAACCTGAAGCCTGCCTCTCAGGCTGAGACAAGTATATAGGCCTGTGTCTGCTGTTGTATTGCAGTGTACTGTCTGTACAGTACAGTACTGTGCAGTGCCCTGAGGTTATTAACCTGCCAATAACTGTTTCTTCAATTGTTATAGTTCTGTAGGACCCAGGAACACAAGTGTCTTGGCCACCAGAGCCAGGTGATTAAAGAACATCCCCTGTATGGACTGTATGAGCTCACTAGCTTTAGGGAGGCAGTGGAGCAACACAGGGCCAATGCACATGCACCAGCTT